ATTTTCAAACAAACTAGAGCAATGCAAGCTTTTAAAAGTTTCCAATCTTAGTACAAATTTGAGCTCTAAATCCGTATAAAGTGTTTTTTCTCTAGTAGCAAGCGATCTCTTTTTGTTTTTGCACCATCTTTTATCTTTATATGACAACTTTACCATATGTGAAAATAAGAAAAAATTCAAATATAGGAAGCATATAAAAATAAGTACTATATCCTAAAAATTTAAGAAAAGCAGAGAAAATTCAGATTAGACATTATCCATTTTAGTTAGATTATTTATGCCAGTTTTGTAATATTATCTTATGGACCCTTTATACATGTAGTAGTATCTTTTCATGCAGAAAAAAAAAACTTTAATCGTTTGAAATTCATGTAGAGATTGCATGCATAAGGTTGTCCAGTATTTTTTAATTTTAAATGTACAAAAGATAATGACCTTGACCTGACTTTGTCTCTAATATAAAACGATCAATGGCAATGATCTCACCTATACCAACATTCAGTGATATTGTCTTTTTGAATCTATAATAATTTCATTAATTTTAGATACAAGAAATATGAGAAGAATCCTACATTAAAAAAATTAATAAAAAGGTCTGAGAAGTTCATATAGGAAAATTATTTTCTTTTATTCTTTGGTATATTGTAGGGGACCCCGATGAGGGGGTTTAAGTGCGTTGGACGAAATGACTCTTGCGGGATACACGTCCTTTTTCGTGGTTTACATACCCCCAGTGACTGCACTTTTTGTTTATATCACTAATATGATGTTCCAGTTTATTAGAATGTGTAGCAAAATAATTCCAAAATATGATTTTTAGAGAAACTCGAGAGGGGCGGGGGGGGGGGGGTCCACTTCTGGTCACAGATTTTAGTTATTTAGGGTGCTTGATAACACAACTGTCGAGTGATAGAAGAAAGTCTCTCGTATAGCTTTTTACCTATTTACAAAAAAATAATATTTAAAAAAACTATTTATATAGCATATGAAATTTTCAAGGAGCATTGGACTACACATGGAAAAGGCAAATATACTAAGTATTCGTAATTGTCCCCCCCCATTTCACGAAAGCGAGGGGTCGTTAAATCTCATTCGTCTGTCCGTCAGTCTGTCTAGCTGTCCGTCTGTCAGTCCGTCACAAAAACTTTAACCTTGCCCATAAATTTTGATTTAGCTGAGCTCATATTTCACAAGTGCATTCCTTGTGCCAAGGTTTACCAGATTTGACCTTTTGACCTTGGAGTTCGACCCACTTTTACATAAAAAATCCCAACTTTTACTTTGACCATATTTTTTGAATCATAGAAACTAGGACTTTCATATTAAACAGATGCATTCTTTGTGGCAATTCCTTCAATTTGATAGCATCAAATTTGACCTTTTGACCTTGACCTTGGAGATTTCCGTACTTATGAAAATACTTTAACCTTGACCATAACTTTTTAATGGTAAAGGCTAAGGCTTTCATACTTCACATATGTAATTCATGTAAGAAGACCTTTCATTGCATACCATGAACTTTGACCGTTTGATCTTAACCTTGGAGTAACACGTTCTTTTCAAGAACTTTGACCTTGGTCACAACTATCGAATGGCCGAAGCTAGGACTTTAATTTTTCGCATATTTATTTTTTGTAGCAAGACCTTTCTTTGGGTACCACCAAATCTGACATATTGAACTTGACCGTGGAGTTTGACCCACCTTTACACAAAAATTCTGAACTTTTACTTTGACCATAACTTTTGAATGGTAGATACTAGGACTGTCATATTTCACATATATATTCTATGTGAAAAGACTTTTATTGGATACCAACAACCTTGACCTTTTGACCTTGACGTTGGAGATTTTTTGTACTAATAAATAAACTTTAAACCTTGACCATAATTTTTGAATGGTAAGGGCTAGGGCTTTCACACTTTACATACATAATCCTTGTGAGAAGACCTTTCATTAAATAACAAAAACTTTGACCCTTTGACCTTGACCTGAGATTGATGATTTCTAAATAAATGACATTATATAGGGTGTTCATATTACGCACAATATGTCATAAAAATGACATCTCACCCACAAAGACACCGAAAGCGGGGCACTACAATATCTTGAATTTGTTTGTTGTCCCCCGCTTTCGCGAAAGCGAGGGGAAATTAAATATCATTCGTCTGTCCGTCTGTCTGTCTGTCCGTCAGTCTGGGCGTCCGTCACAAAAACTTTAACCTTGCCCATAACTTTTGATTTAGTGGAGGTATGACTTTCATATTTCATATGTGTAATCCTTGTGACAAGACCTTTCTTTGGGTACCACCAAACTTTAACTTTGGCCATAACTTTTGAATGGTGGGTACTAAGACTTTCATATTTCAAATTTGTATTTTGTATGGCAAGACCTTAGATGGGATACCAATAACTTTGACCTTTTGACGTTGACCTTGGAGATTTACGTACTTATGAAAAAAACTTTAACCTTGACCATAACTTTTGAACGGTAAGGGCTAGGGCTTTTGCACTTCACATATGTAATTTTTGTGAGAAGACCTTGCACTGCATACCAAAAACTTTGACCTTGACCTTGGAGTTTTTACTACTTTTAAAAAAACTTTAACCTTGGTCACAACTTTTGAACGGTAGATACTAGGACTTTCATATTTCAATTATGTATTTTTTGTGTAAAGACTTTTCATAGGATACCAATAACTTTGACATTTTGACTTTGACCTTGGAGATTTACGTACTTATGAAAAACTTTAATCTTGACCATAAGTTTTGAATGGTAAGGGTTAAGGCTTTTATACTTCACTGTAATCCTTGTGAGAAGACCTTTCATTGGATACCAAGAATTTTAACCCTTTGACCTTGACTTTTGAGTTGACCTACTTTTTAAAAACTTTAACCTTGGCCATAACTTTTGACCGGTTAATGTTAGGGTTTTCATCATTCAAATATGTATTACTTGTGACAAGACCTTTCTTAAAAAACCAACAACTCAGACCCTTTCACCTTGGAGTTTGACCTACCTTTCAAAAATTTATCCTTGGTCATAACTTTTGAACAGGTAGTGCTAGGGATTTTGTATTTCACAATCGTATTTCTTGTGAGAAAAACCGTACTTTTGGTAATGATATATTTGATTTGCATTTAAGAATATTTTAATCTTCATTATGTTGCCATTCGGGGTCATCAGTGTTTCACAAACACATCTTGTTCCTTATATTGAGAAGAGATACAGCTTTCATACATGACATGTGCATTACTTGTGACAAGATAATTCCAAGCATGCTATGATTTTTTACCCCTTGACCTTGACCTTCATGATTGACCTTATTTATACACAAAAACAACTTCAATGATAATTTCTGAATAAATGACAAATGATAGGGTGTTCATATTAAACACAATATGTCATAAAAAAAATAACATCTCACCCACAAAGACACCGAAAGTGGGGGACCACAATTCTTTGAATTTGCTTGTTTACATTTAATGTGCAAGGGCATATACTATTTTGTTTAAGCTGAAATCTGGAATGCTAATCAGGTTTAAAGTTTTTTTTCGGCCACAATGAAGAGGCATCATGACAGGAATAAACAAATACTGATTTGTAGCAATTTAGCAGTTAATTACTAAGGTTTTTACAGGCACATAGCAGCAGGGGGGGGGGGGGGGGGCTGGCCCCTAAGGTTTTTCCCAACATTACTTATTCTATAAGAAATGTTTATTGAAAGGTTGGTCTCCTAACATTTTGTGGTACTGAAGAATTTGAAAGACCCGGCCTCTAACCACACACACCCCTCACATACACACACCCGCCGACTTTGGGAAAACTTTTCTTTTCCCCCTTTTTTGGATTGTCAACTTTTTCAGGTAAATAAAAAAAAATCTCAAGCTGCCTTACTCCCTACTTTCAAACACGATGCTACGTGGCTATTTTACCATAATTCATTTAATTGTTACATATTTTTAAGCCTTCTGATATATTTATCAATGGATGATTTCTTTCTTTTTCATCATTCTAAGCTGTATCTCCAAAACGTGGTAGTTGACATATTGTAAGTCAATCAACTGTCTTCCCACATTTTTTTTCTAACAAAACCTTAAGTAAATATCTTGATAAAGAATTGTTATAAGGGTTACCTTTATGAGACAAAGTCAATGTTTGTACAAAACTACGAAAAGGTGAAGTCAGAACAAGTGTAAAAATATGTTTTTGTTTTTTGTTTTTTTTTTGTTTTTTTTTTTTTTTTTTTTTTTTTTTTTTTTTTTTTTTTTTTTTGTTGTTGTTGTTGTTGTTGTTTTTTTTTTCTTTTTTTTTTTGAAAACGTCAGGAGCAATTGCTTGTAATTTTATTCAGTGCTGTGCTGTTCTTTACTGTGAAAAGTATGTAGCATCGTGCTTGCAAATTTTGCTTGGTCAGTTCCTTACAAATAAAAGTAAGCATGTTATTATGTATTTCATTTTTCACCAACCTTCTGTCTGTGTCTGTGCATGGGCGATTTTGTCTATTAATGATACATTCTCTACAACGAAAATATAAAGCTAAAGAGGATTTTTTTTCTTTTATTTATTAGGCCCTATTTATTTTCAATACCCATTTCAACTAAACAAAGTTGATTATTTGAAGCAATATACAAAGTAATTTTTAAAGAAAATTCTCCCAATTATTATACCCACACATTATTATTTTATCAATGGATAATAATTAAATCAAATCATACACTAAACATAAACTTTAAAGCAGTACCATTTTTTTAGTATTTAAAACACAATTTGGTTGCTGCATCGCGAGTGTATTTTTCAATAAGAACTGAATGCAAAAAAGAATTAATGATACATTTCTACTTTGTTAACAAAATTTAAATCTATGTAGTGGGTAAGAATTTGAGAAATAAAATGTATACAGGAATATTTTCGCCCCGTGTTATTTTGACCCCTTTGCACTTGCAAACAATTTTGACCCGTTTAAATTTAAATTTGCCCAATTATAGCTCTGTGTAAATTACACTGCTTTCTTTAAATTCACCCATTTGTGAAAAGGTCATGGGAAAAAATAAGACAGTGGGGAAAGTTTCCAACAGTTATAAAATGACTGCTGGGTTATTCCCAAATATTTTAAAAGGAAAAATAACCTTCTTTGAGCGCTGAATCTATGCTCCTTTCTGTAAAAAGACGATATATATCAAATAAGTTCTAATTTTCACACTAAGATAAAATTCAAACCATTTTAAATTTATACATTTGACAACCCATTTTTAACTAAAAATAAGGTATATTGCACTCATTTGATTGATTATAAATTCTTTTAAACCAGAAGTCTCTGTCGAGACAGAAGCTCTACTGGTTTGTACTTATAGCAAAGGAAGAGAAAAGTTCTTAAGCTGTTGGGAATTGAAACTTTACCACAGCAATAAAAAGAATAATGATCCTTGATTAAGTCTCTTTATGTTCTTAGTGTAGTCTACTTGCATGCCACATTATATTATAATCAGACTTAAACTGTATTTGGAGTAGCATTTTGAGAATTTTTAACAAAAATTTCTAATTTTAGTTACTACGGCAACACCGATCATCGAAATCAAAAACAGACATATAGAATTGTGTATCTTAGTGTAGTCTACTTGTGTGCCAAGTTATATTGGAATCAGACCAAAACTGTAGAAGGAGTAGCATTTTGAAAGAATTTCACAGAAATTTCTATTTTTAGTAACAACGGAAACACCATTCATCGAAATCAAAAACGGATAAACAGAATAATGTATCTTAGTGTAATCTACTTGTGTGCCAAGTTATATTGAAATCAGACCAAAACTGTAGAAGGAGTAGCATTTTGAAAGAATTTCACAGAAATTTCTATTTTTAGTAACAACGGCAACACTGTTCATCGAAATCAAAAACGGATATATAGAAATATGTATCTTAGTGTAGTCTACCTATGCGTTAAGTTATATTGAAATCAGACTAAAACTGTAGGAGGAGTAGCATTTTGAAAGAATTTCACAGAAATTTCTATTTTTAGTAACAACAGCAACACCGTTCATCGAAATCAAAAATGAATTTACAGAAATATGTATCTTAGTGTAGTCTACTTATGTGTTAAGTTATATTGAAATCAGATCAAAACTGTTGGAGGAGTAGCATTTTGAAAGAATTTCACAGAAATTTCTATTTTTAGTAACAACAACAACACCGTTCATCGAAATCAAAAACCGACACACAGAATTATGTATCTTAGTGTAGTCTACTTGTGTGCCAAGTTATATTGAAATCAGACCAGAACTGTAGGAGGAGTAGTATTTTGAAAAATTGTTTACAGACAGACGGACAGACGGACAGCTAGACAGACAGACGGACGACGGACGCATTATATATAAGCTATATAGAGCTAAAAAATATACTTATGATGCAGATAAACAATGTATATCAGATGCATCAAAAGAGAGGAAAAAGTGAATTTGATGACAGTATCAGAAGTTTGATGTGATTGGAGAGTTGGAACCACTCTCTCAGCATGGTAATAAAAAATAATCCCGAATCCCCCTATGGGGAAAGACAACTTTTTCTAATCTGAAGTCTTATTGTGTAAAGATGATCAATAACCATATGAAGGTGGAGTTTCTCTCGTTTTCATTGTTTAATATGATTGTATGAGTTGCGATAGACAAAAAATTGCCTGATTGATTGAATAATGATGAGATTTAAAGTTGTAAAATTTTTCATTTAAATGGAACGTTTGGATGTTTCTTATCAATTGTTACATAATCACATGTCCATTTCGTAGGAACAAGAAAGAAATATTCGTCGATCAATGAGTAACATTGAAATGGAAAGTTATAAGAGTTAGAAAATCTACGCTGGAAGACAGGCAGACAGACAAACGAGATTTAAAGTCCCCTTGCTTTCGGGAAACAGGGGGAAACAAAAATTATTTTACAAAATGTTAGCATTATGTTTTCTTTTTATTATGCAGGAGTTTAATGACTATTATCAGAAAATATAATTTGAATTAGCTGTGCTGTGCAATACATTTCTATTTAATAATTGTTCTAAAGTTTTATGTTCATGAAGAAGTTATAGAAACTTATAGAATAGAAGGGTTTGATACAAACTGTTTTAAGGTTCTGAAACATAAAATTAGCAATATATATGTTTTAACATGCAGAATTTTAAGTTTACGTATGTGGGAAGAAAATATAACATGAAGATGTGCTTAAAACTTACGTAGCTTACGAATCTTTTGATATAGTACGGCAACTAATCCACACAATATTAAAAACAAAATCGACAGAGAAAAAACAGCAACAATGAAGCCCGTCGCATTATTTTCTTCTTCGAGTGATTGTTCACGATTAAAAGTAGAGTTCTTCTCTCTTCCATCAATCCTACAGAAAAAATGTGTCAAAAACACGTTAATTATCACATCTTGCTATAAACGCAGTTAAACGTCTGATGAAATAAAGTTCTACATATGTTCAGACAGGTTAAAGTTTCGAGAAGGAAAAAAGGGTCGAACGAAAGAGAAGCTGGATTTCACAGCACATAATACAACATCTATAGGTGAACTCATTAGTATTCTAAACCATGGTATAATATCATATTGTAGAAATGATGGTATATCAAATTAATAATGTTAAAAAGGTTGTAAAATCATTCACTTTTACGAAGTTTGCACCTGAGCGTTTGAGCCGATTTTTATCTTAACCCTTATTTAAGGTGGAATGCCACACCAACTTTTTATTTTATAGATCTTTGAGTCATCCTTTTTAAACAATGGTTTCAGCATTGAAAGGCCGATATTATCTCTTGATTATTTTGTATATTTTTTTTGTATTTTTTCAAAGAAAATGAAAAAAAAAATTATATCCAAATAAGTTGTTTTCGAGATTAAAGAGTTTGCTGTAAATGAATGCATTATATGAATATCTTATAAAATATGTAAAGAAAAGCTGGTTAGACTTTTTAATTTTTTTTTTATAAAAAATTATTTATGAAAATAAAACACATTATTTGTGAATATTTTTAAACCTATGGTTAAAAACACCATAAAAATAGTCACAACTAAGGACAACATGTTTTTCAATTATTTTTAAAAGAAATGAAAACGAAATTAAGATATTTAGAGAAATTATTTTTTTTAAATATTTGGACCTAACCCGATCAAAAGGAAACTGATCCCGATCAAAATGTACACAAAATGAATAAAATGCTAACTTATTGCCTCTTCATGTATTAACAAAGAAGAAATCTATTTTATTGTCAGGTTCAATAATATTTTAACCCTTATAACACCTAATCAGACTAGTGTTCTTGGGGAAATGTTATTTATTTCCAGTCATTTTACAATTATGGTTGGGATCGGTTTAATTTTGATCGGGATTGGCCAAAATTAAACAAAATAATTTCTCTAAAATTTGACTATTTCTTTTCAATTTCTTTTATAAATATGATTATTAAATGTGTTCTCCCCAGTTGTGACTGGTTTTAAGAAGATTTTAACCACAAGTTTTGAAAAATATTCACAAATTATGTGTTTTATTTTCATAAATAATTTTTATTTAAAAAAAAATTAATATCTTTACGGCTTTTCTTCACATATTTTATTAGGTTTTCATGTAATGCATTCATTTTCAGCAATTTTTTTTTTTAAAAAGAAAGCATCTTATTTGAATGTAAATAATTTTTTGAATTTTCTTTGAAAAAATACCAAAAATTCATATAAAATAATCAAAAGCTAATGTCGGCCTTTCAATGCTGAAACCATTGTTTAAAAAGGTTGACCCAGAGATCTATGAAATAACAAGAGGCCCACGGGCCTTATAGGTCACCTGAGCATTATGCAACAACTTTCCAGTTATTGAATTTGATACATGTTTTAAGCCAGATGCTATATGGCATTCACAATTTTGAAAGAGGCACCATTGATCATCATAACAATACACTTAGCAGTTGCTTAGCTTGGTTACTGAATACCCATACGCAGGGTAGGGGAACAATATTGCATTCCAACTAATCAGCAATATTCAGCAATAATCAGTAGTGCCCCTAACACTGTGACATAAACCCCTGACCCTAGGTCCACACATTGCACAAATTTTAAAAAGGCACCCTTAAAATTGCCTATCAAAAAATAAATAAATGTTTTATAAATATAAAGGAGCAGATTTCAAACAATTAATTCATTTTCAGTATATCAGTAGAGCCCCCCGCACCCCTGACCCTGGGGCCTTGAATCCACAATTCTGCAAGATTAGGGCCCTTGCTCATCATAACTATTTAGGTAGTTCATCTGCTTCATACCCAGAGACAGAGAAGAAAATTTTCAAAGATTTAATGTATTTTCACTATATAATCAATAGAGCCCCGCCCTAACACCAGAGCCCCAGACCCTGGGGCCATTAAAATCACAATTTTGGTTCAGGCACTCTTGTCCATCATAACTATGCACTTAGTTGGTTTATTTAATACCTAGGAGCAGAGAAGAAGATTTTCAAAGAATTCATGCATTTTCACTATATAATCAATAGAGCCCCCCCCCCAACACCAGAATCCTTGACCCTGGGGCCATAAAATTCACAATTTTGGTTGAGCCACTCTTTCTCATCATAACTATGCACTTAGTTAGTTTACTTGATACCTAGGAGCAGAGAAGAAGATTTTCAAAGAATTCATGTATTTTCACTATATAATCAATAGAGCCCCTCCCCTAACACCAGAACCCTTGATCCTGGGGCTATAAAATTCACAATTTGGGTAAAAGCATTCTTGCTCATCATAACTATGCACTTAGTCAGTTTATTTAATACAAAAGGGGCAGAGAAGAAGATTTTCAAAGAAATCATGTATTTTCACCATAGAGCCCCGCCCTAACAACAGAACCCTTGATCCTGGGGCCATAAAATTCACAATTTTGGTAGAGGCACTCTTGTTCATCATAACTATGTACTTAGTTGGTTTATTTAATACCCAGGAGCAGAGAAGAAGATTTTCAAAGAAATAATGCATTTTCACTATATACTTATTTAGCCCCGCCCTAGGACTAGAACCACTGACCCCAGGGCCATGAATTTCACAGTTTTGGTAGAGGACTCAATGCTGATTACAATCATGTAAACAGTTTGACTGCTTGATGTCCAGGAGTAAAGAAGAAGATTTTTAAAGATTGCATTAATTTTAGTGGTTTTGGCCCCACCCCTCAGGCCCGAAGGGGGCAGGGATCACGAAATTCATAATTGTTGTTCCCCTTCACCCATAGATGCTTTGTGCCAAATTTGGTTGAAATTGGTTCAGTGGTTGCAGAAAAGAAGCTGAAAATGTTCAAATGTTAACACACGACGCACGACGGACGACGACGGACGAAAACGGATAGCAATAGGTCACCTGAGTTTATTCAGGTGACCTAAAAAGTTGGTGTGGCATTCCTCCTTAAAAAATTCTGCATTATATAGCAATTCTTACAATAAATTCAGATTCTACAGTGCCAATATTCAGTTAAAACTCAGTTAAATGATTAAATTCAATACCAAAAGCATTAAGTGAGAAACTATATTTTGTGGCGGAAGGTGTATTAGAAGAAAATGATCATTTATTTTGTCTTCTTTAAAAGTATTTAAAGTATGTTTATTTTGGCTTCCTATTTTTACATGCAGTGTACTCACATTTATTTTGTGAAGTACATAGACTTTTTTTAATTCTGGTCTTAAATTATCTATTAAATAAACTGTCATAATTCCAATCATCATATCTGATAAATATAGCATTAATATTTTCAAAACAAAGAAAAAATTGCCCTAATTGAAGCTTAAAAATAGCACAAATTTAGTAATATCTTAAAATTAACATCATAGACCTTCACTTTTAATTTTCTTTTCCAAACATATACTCGTTTGTAACTTTTTGGTAAGTTTAGTAAAATGCCATTTCTTTTCAATGATTATTTCTTTGTTAAATTTTTTAATACTTGAAAAATTAAAATATTTGAGTGCAAAAAGGTCAAATAATTACATATGCGGATTAATTTGAAAATTTCCCGTTTTTACAAAGAAAGAGGGCGTACGTATAAGGCTTGGACAATCCCCCGATCTGAGACAAAATGTTTCTCAATTTTCAAAATTCACAGAAAAGTTATATTTTTCTAAAATCATGTTCTCCATAATGTCATCTTCTAAACATTTTATCATTTTATTTTACTGAACGATTTATTATTTGATAATCTTAATTCAAAATTGACAGTTCAGCATATTTAGTGGAAAATGGGTTTACTAAAGCTATATAAAATAAATTTTGAACATGAATGGGTCAAGTCTCCATTTTTCGTTAACGCTTAAAGGATGGAAATGTAAATGTGAAATCTATTTCATTCGTCAAAAAATGGAATCTGAACCCATTCTATATGAAAATTGAAAATTTATTTTAAAAATGCACGCTTCAGCAACCCCGTTCATTTAAACCACACTGACAGACATCGATAATTCATATTCTTGGTAGCGTAGTGGTTAAAGCGGTCGGTCTTGAATCAAACCCTGCGCTATGGAGAGAGTTCGAATCATACATGAAGCTTTTTTCTTTTTTGTTTTCATATATCTTAAAAACATGAGTGAAATATGAATTTTTAATAAAATATGAAAACAATGAAATACAGAATAAAGTGTGTAAAAGATGATATAAACAATATTATTTTGAAAAGTATAACTTTTAGGATTGAGAAATGTCTCTTCTCAGCGCGGGAGATTGTCCTCGCCTTGTACGCCTCCATTCGTTTAATGTCTCATTTTAAGAAGAAATAAGACAGTCACTGTGTCTGTTCCCATACTTTACTTGAACAAAATATATGAAAGGAAAAACTCAAAAAGATGATTTATAAGTAAAAAGAATTTACAGTTGAAAAAGGTCAAACTGAATGTTCTGTAGCGACAAAAGAAGCGCATAGTCCTCCATCTTGTTTTGATTTTTAATGAAGCTATATGTATAAGTTCAAAAATATACTAGTACTTGATAAAAAAAAAAACTCTCATTACTTTTGATGGCAGGATCCAATCTCCTTCAACAAAGTTAATTACGTTAATTTAAATGAATTTTGAAATTTACAGACAGCAACCGAATTTTTCTTTACCTGTAGGTAAGATTTAACCAATATTGGCAAAGGAAGTATGACATTTTCACTTTCGGCAACGTCTAAATGAAGACCCGATTTCACAGTTCAGTGCTAGCCTAATGTAATATGTATTTCATTTGATGTTGATCAAACATTGGTTGCATATAGGCACGATGCAAGAAACACCGGCCCCGATTTTGACAAATTGACAAGGTGTCCAACATATACACATAGCCAAGAGCAAGAGTAAAGGCAAGAGATTTAAAGTACTGCCTGCAAACATACATGGCCAGTTTTCCACTGGTAATCAAATGCAAAAAGTCCATTTTTGGATGCTAGAACTTGATTGACATATACTTTCTGTGTATACCCTGTGCCTTATGTGTCATTTTCAACATCAGTGTAAACTAGACTTCAGATGAATTTCTTCTAAAAAGTCAAGATATTTGAAAATAAATTGTGTGAAGTTTCAATGTTCTTGAATTATCAGAAAGCGAGATTTTTGAAAACCTTCAGACGAAAACTTAAAATGGAGGCATAGATAAAACATTCTGGGACAACATTATACACAAAAACTAGAGGTATTGTGAGCATGGGCTCAATAAATTATACCCCCCGCCTCCCATATGTGTATAAATGGCAGTGTCCATGTTTTGATGTGGGATACCCAAAATATGTGTCAGATCAAAAAGTAAAATTGAAGGTGCACAATGGCAATATGTAATAAAGATTCTGTGAAAGTTTCATCAAATTTCATCCAGTGGTATAAGAGGAGTTGCGGATAAGAGATGTGTACCCCAAAGCGTAACAGACGGACGGACGGACGGACGGAATTAACGATTACTATATACCCTCCCACTTTTCAAGCGGGGGGTATAATAAACTCGCTTGAGACCCCTTTAAAAGAGTGTTATGCTGACATTGATTGAAGTAATTTAATTTCACGAAATCATCGGCAAGTATTCTAACCATAAGCCCACATTAGGCAAACGTATTAAGTAATGCTCTCTAAATTTTTCTTTTTTAAAGGAATTACTTTAAATATTTGATAGTAGTTGCACTCACATGGTGTATCGTTTTCGTAAACAATTAAGATCTGCCGCAAAACATTTTGCAACTAATCTTAGGCAAGCCGGATCTGCAAATTAAAACAAAATAAAAATTATTATTATAATATTTTTTCCAACAGCAATTTCTCGAAAAATGTATTTTTTTAAGCAAATTTTCATTCTATTTTATTTTGTCCTTTTTGTAACTTACACCGATAAATTTCATTACTGAAATAGTCCTTTTCTGGACAACCATAAATGAAGTGGCCACACTTCACGTGGTTTAGGATTCCAGTATAGGCGAGTTCCAAACAATTACCTAAAATACATGCATAAAAATAAATAATATTATTATACCTCTTTTGATTTTTCTCTACTTACATCTAAGAGTATATATTTTGCTGATTTCTTAAAAATTGCTATAAAAATACTGATTCCCTGCAGAAAGGTCCATCACTTTGATGAGCTGATCCATACCTATTCAGAGCAGCAATTTCTCTTTATCGTATTCCATTTCCTTTATAATTGTATTGTATTTAAAATAGAATTTCAGGTACTGTCTTTTAAAATGTATTTTTTTCTGTCGATATAACAAAACAGTTATTCTAATAAGATATATAATTGAGAGAGTCAGCAAGATTCCAGTTCCTCTCCAGCTAGCCTATTTCCTTCGACTAAGCGTCGGGAAATAGACTTGTTCTTGGGGAACAGGAATCTTGATGGCTCTCTCAATAAGATACTAGTACTTTAAATATTTAATATTTGTACGCACTGTAAGAAAAAATGCATCTCGCACTTTAATAGGAAAATATATCAGTATATTGAGAATTTATATATATACCTTTTTGGAAAGGAATACTTCTTCCTCGTGGATAACAAAACTGTATAAGAGATGAAAAATTCTTATCAGGGACACAATGATACCCATGTGTTTCGTTGCAATTCAACTGAATAGATGCATTAGACCATTCCTTGGCAGTCATTGGGCAAATGTCTGTTGAGTACACAGGAAAATTGTAGCCCAACGAGTCAATCCTCTAAAAATGAGGACAGAAAAAAGTTTTAATTTTTGTACATGCTACACACAGTGTCATAATCTCTTAAATCAATTTAACAGTTGTAAAACCATACTTTGCAGTGATAAACTGTAAAGTTTAAAATATTTTGATAAAAAAGTCTTATATAATGAAACACTCACAAACGGAAAAACATACTCAGATACATACATTGTTAATTAATTTGTATTTACTGTCTGAACTTGTCATTTGATTTTTTTCACCTTCAACAACCAAATATATAAAGATAAGTTTCTGAGGTAGTTAATTTGACAGAAGAGAGATTCATTTATTTCAATTACCTTAGGGATAGCTAACTGTAGCATAACATATGCAAAAACGTGTAATACAGTCATATCAAGGCTGCCTGAATATTCCTACACAACACACGAAAGGAAGTCTGATCATCAAATCCTAAAAATTAGAAGTAGGTTATTGAAAAGCTCACAAAATTGTCTTAGAATTCTTGCAATACTGTGCATTTACCCACACCTTTTCTTCAAAGTTTATCATTAAAGTTAATCATATACTTAGTACATCGTTACTTTATTAAAGTTTCATTTTCCTTACTGTTAAATTGAATTCCACTGCAATGAAATTTTTTGATGTAAATGTTATGAATTAGACATTCTCCACTATTGTCATGAATAAGTAAACAAGATGTTTTTTGTGATATGAGTCGTTACTTGTAAAATGATGATTCGATGAATGATTGAATGAATGATATGTATTGACATTTATTCTTACTTACTTGTTATTATTGATTAATGGTTATTTGAAGTTTAATATGGGCTAGGTGCATATTTTTCACCATGTACCGAATTTCCTCCACGTTTTAAAGAATACGGAACGTTTGTGAAGTTACCTATATTTGATAGTATCCTAAATTATCCCTAATTCATCATCAGGTGTAAAAAGTGTGATCAAGCCAAAAAGATATAGAGGATATTCAATGTTTTGTAGTTGTATATGGAATTTATTTCAGGAGTGGGACAGGATTTTTTAAAATATATTTTCACGAGTGCAAAGCACTAGTGCAAATATCAAAAAATCCTGTCTCACGAGTGAAAAGAAATTCCATATTCCTCTACAAAAGATTGAATTTTCTGTTTATTACATTGAAGTTCTTTGATTTCCCCCTTTGCCTTCGTATTTTGCAATCTTCGGCTACATGACGTCATAGTTGAGCGGTTTAGACGTCATAGCTAAGTGAAAAACATTGTAAACATGAATTTCAGCATATTTAGGAAATTTTCAGAGTTTTATTTTATGACAGCATGGTGTATAAACTCGTTTTCTATTTTGTTATAGGTTAAGGAGTATTTTTTTTACAATACTCTTGGTGAAGGGAAGCAAAATCTCGAGTTTTCCCGCACTTCCTACATTCTTTCACACTGTGACAGGATATCATTGTGATATTCAAAATGATGTCAAAATCAAAGAGAAATAAGAAAAATCACAGCCCTATGTCGGGTCCTATAAATTTAGAATTGCGTGGCTGATGGATGTTGCCTATATGCACAAAATAGACATGCATGTCTCCAAACCATCCAAATTATGAGACAATGCCTTAATATTTTTCCATAGACCATATATCATACAATAATTAACATAGTGTCATACATCATTACATATACATATGTATACATAATTCAATTACTTATACATACACACTCGTACATAGGGCTTTCAAAATATTAGATAGATCTATAGTATAGAGTTTGCCTTCTGCCCAATCCCAGTAACATTTACTTGTGAATAAAATTTTGAAAAAATATTTAAATACAATAATAATAAGTTTATAGTAATAAGTTTTCTGATGTTAAATAGAATATATCGCCAGGGTTTAAGAATGTTCTGCTTACATTATGCATGTCATGCATACCACAGAAAAAAGTCGAAACCTATCGATATCTGCTTTCCCAAAGTTAACCTCTTTTTTTCTCGGAAACGAAGGTGATTGTTGTCTCCACTTCGAAAGATTTCCATGCCTTTTCTGTGTCCTCAAATGTACCCACCCACCCACCCACACAATCCATCATCTGACACGGATGTCCATAATGTTTATTACCTCTCCGTATTCATGATGCTGAGTGCACCATGTACATACCGCCTCGCCTTGGCCTTTTTTAATTTCTCGACAAATATCGGTAACTTCCGTCACATTATGCATGTTAATGAGTTATGACGCGGTCGGTCTATCGGATTACTCACCTTAAAAAGCTCTCACTGTGGGCAATCTTCCGCTTGAAAAATAAAGTATGGAAGCCTGTTACGAGTATTTTATTTCAAATTTTGACATCTTCAATGTTTTAAGTTTTGTTTCTGTTGATTTATTGTTCTTTCCTCAGTAGGTATTTTCCATCAAAATGGGATATTACAAGAATAGCTATAGGCTAAAGCCTGTGGATAATTCCAAGCAGACAATGGCTCCTTGCTAGAAATTTCAATTTTATAAAAATTTTCCAGAAAACAAAAATTTTAATGTTATAATTAATTTTATTTCATTTTTTGTTAAAAATATACATGAAAACAGGACAAAAAAATCCAATACCATAAAAATGACATAAAAAAAGAAAAGAAAACAAAACAAAAACCCACACAAAGTAACATAATTATATGTTTTTATGACAATAACTGTGCGCCATACTTGCTATCAAAAATAGGTGAACGTCATTCAAAACAACTCAAATTAATGCAGTTCCAAAGAAAGTGATAACAGTACTAAAATTCTTGATTTCAAAAACAGATAAATGTCTGAATATATTTATGTATTGTTGACTAATTTAATACATAAATAATTGAGGTGAGAAAAACAAAGATGCTTCGATTAATTTTTTGATTCAAGTTTTTTCACTATCGAAAACCGGTAACGCCTGGATAAATAAACCATTTACTGGTCCATAAATGCAACTATATAGTACTAATGTGCTTACCTTTGATAATTGGGATAATCGAATAAATCCATTCACTGATAATTAGAGCAAAAGTTATAAAGTACACTCATCCTTGCCTATTGACGCGGAGTATACGAAGCAAGGCAGGGACAGGGAACCAGACTAACTGCATCCGAAGCTTTTCGGCTTTTCGAAGTTATGACACCAAATCTCATGCGATATACGTCACATAATGGGTGTTTATTAACGGGTTTGCTTTGCGACATTCAGATTTATACTTCCTAATGACAAAACTTGTAAGGAGACAGGCCCATCCCTGTTTGGAAAGTCGATTCTACAACCAGTCTACAAATTTTATATCGCATTGCATTCGACAAAGACAGCTATTCTCTTCAAACATTCAGTTTACCATCGAAAATACAGAGACGGTTCATTAAACACAGTTCTCGTGGTGAAGATTCCAGAATAGCGCATGCAGACCGAGAATCCTCAAACCTTAGATACGTACATGTATACCTGAAGTTATGATTTTCACGGCTCAATAAAAGACGAGAAGTCCAGCATTCGTTACATCAACAGTCAAAGGAAATTTCACAGTCATAAACAGAGTAAAAAAGGGCCATTGAAACAGAAGATAAGTTTTAAAAATAATGTTTTCAGTTTTTGGTGATAATTAAGGTTCAAGTTCAAGAACGCGGCATTAATTTATCCCCCGTTTATTATTGTAAAAATAAAAGTACATAATGAAAGTAAACACAGACAAGACACCTTTTCGATAAGTTATTTCACCTATGTCTATCTTCTTAGAATTTTCCACTGCTCATCGGAAGACAAAGGTCCAGAATCGCCTGAACAGTTCAACAGATTTTACATCCATAAGCAGAGAGTACATAATGGTCATTGAAGTAAAAGATAAACATTTTCGATAATACTTATAAAATGTTTTGAGTACAATTGAATTCAATTCACTTTATTACGTAAGACACACATTTTATTGTATACAATATAAATTTATAACTTGTAAACAGTAAAGCATAGCGCAGGTATTTTTTCTTTTTAACAGTCAGCATAATAATTATACAATCAGTATCATGATGATGGAGAATATACAAACCATGTTTTAATTGTTTATAGGGCAGTATGACATTCATTTAAACACACAGAACACATGTACCACTTCGATAAATGATTTTGCTTATGATTATGAGAGAGCTAGAATCTAAAGCTGGCTTCGATATACTGTATGAATGCATTTGTACATATGTACATGTATACTTATTTAACAAACCCTTAAAGACTGATTTGGATTTGATTTCACAACTAATTTAAATTAGGTTGGGAGATCATAATTCAGCTTATTTTTTACAGATTCTCTTTGCAACACACTCAGCTTCACATGCAAAACAACAAAACTCTAGATAAAACCTCTAGATATAAGATTGATATATTTTAAATACTATCCATCAAAAATACAAAAGCCTACTGCTTGTAAATGAAATCATTTCATTTTCTCGTTATCAAATGAAAGATAGAAGGGAAAAAGCTCTGCATTAATTTTATCTATTTGAAATTTTTAAAAAAAGTTTTCAAACAGTTAAGAAATGTTATTTTATATTGTTGACTTTCTTTTCTGGTCTAATGATAAAAATCCGAGTATACTATATATTTCAGTAAAATATTATAATGAGGTTATATGGAATACGATTGATTGTGTTCAGGTTTCACGGTCAAATTGAATTCTCAAATTCAACTGTGAACGTATTGATATTTATAATTAGCCTTATCATATTGTTTTGGACACGACTTGAACAAACTAGATTTCACTCATCAGCACTGCGACGCAAATAAAATTTAATTTGCAGTTCGTTTTCAAAAGAAATGCGATATTTGAAAAACAAGTAAACGTCGGTTGAAGTTGTTACGTGTCGAGGAGTTCTTTGATTCAGTGTATAGATAGCAGTCTAAGTTTTCAAGAACATACAAGCATAAAATTGTATATATAATTTTTTTTTTGGAATACCAGAACGTCTTAAATAGGAATATCTTAACTATTATTATTTTAGTTTTTATTTTGAAATAATCGTAATGATTTATAAATTTTGAATGAGGGACGTTTTTTATATCCCTGTATTTGAATCTATATTGAACATTGAACGGTTGTGATTATACTTTATCTGTGTTATATATAATACTGCTTCATTTAAAATTAGAAAATCAATCAGATGTACATGGAAATGCCGCTCTAAAGGCTTAAGAAATTTAAAATGTTATAAAAATAATAGCCATGCACACTGTCGTAGAATATAAAATGAGAAGTGATCTAGAAGTCGTTAAAAAATTACATGTGAAAAATTCTTTATATAGTATAATGGAAAAACAGTACTTAACTGTATTTTGTAATAAAAGTTTATAAAATAGTTATATTGTTGCACAATTATGAAGTGTTGGTTTTACTGCAAATGAAGATTCATTATATAAGATACATTTAATGAAGTTGATGTTGGTGCGTATGTGACGCAAGTAGAGTTTTCAGGGTGTTTCTGGTGTACAGCACGATGCATCCAGTGGAAGTCCTGGTGCATAGCACATTGCAGCCAGTGGAATTCCTGGTGCATAGCACATTATAGCCTGTGAAAGTCCTGGTCCATAGCATGTTACAGCCAGTGGAAGTCCTGGTGCATAGCATGTTGTAGCCAGTGGAAGTCTTGGTGCATAGCATGTTGCAGTCAGTGGAAGTCCTGGTGCATAGCATGTTGCAGCAAGTGGAAGTCCTGGTGCATAGCATGTTGTAGCCAGTGGAAGTCCTGGTGCGTATTGACGCAGCCAGTGTAGTTCTAAACATTTTTCAGTGTGTACAAACATTGCATGCTTGTACTTTGGCAGTTTTTGTCTGACACCTTTTTTGCTGATTGTTATTTTTTACATTCTGGATTGTTTATTTGGATTTTCTTCATATAATATGTTACACTGGGGAGATCAACTAATGTTTTGTACAAATTTACACATTTTTTCAAGAGTGATCTCCCCTTTATCTGATGTATATTTTGATTATCTTTCGTCATTTATACATGTATAATAAATGACAAATTCATCCATCAAACTTTGTGTTTGCGTTACTTTAATATGGATGTGATATGGTCTTAGAAGTGTTTGCAAAAAACTAGCTTCAGTGAACTTGTAAAATTAGTTAAATTACGCTGGAGAACATAAAACTGCATTATTGTAAATAATAGCATTTATGTACTCATGTAATGATTTTATGTACTCATGTAATGAATTTTTGAGTTTGTACTTTTAACTTGTTAATCAATCTGTTTTTATCCGTGTTTCAATTTTGTGTCAATATTAGAGCGATCGATAGGGGGTAATTTTACCGACCAATCAGAAGAGACACTAAATGTAGATTCTACGTCACTTCTTGTTTTGATTCGATCGCAGTAAGAAGGGTTTTCCAAGTGTTGCCCACCATCCACCCCGATCATTATTCCACCTTTATTCCTAACTGCTAAATTTATATGCAATGTAAAGAGTTAATGGATAAAAATGTTTAAAAATACATATATGTTTATATATTTTAATATGTTTTTATTTTGGCAGCTGTTATCCGCCAAGGCAGTTTTTGTCTGACACCTTTTTTGCTGATTGTTATTTTTTACATTCTGGATTGTTTATTTGGATTTTCTTCATGTAATATGTTACACTGGGAAGATCAACTAATGTTTTGTACAAATTTACACACTTTTTCAAGAGCGATCTCCCCTTTATCTGATGTATCTTTTGATTATCTTTCGTCATTTATACATGTATAATAAATGACAAATTCATCCATCAAACTTTGTGTTTGCGTTACTTTAATATGGATGTGATATGGTCTTCATAAATTTAGAAGTGTTTGCAAAAAACTAGCTTCAGTGAACATGTAAAATTAGTTAAATTACACTGGAGAACATAAACATTTTTCTGGTGTGTAGCACGTCACAGCTTGTTAAAGTCTGGTCGAATAGTATGTTGTCAGTGGTGTTATCATGATGATTTCTGGTGCACGGAATGATGCAGCCAGCAAATAATTTACAGCGATACTATGCTATACAAAATTGATATACATGTATTCTAAACGGCTTGCTGCAAATCTTAATTGATTTTCAGAACTTATTTACATTATTATTACATTTAAAGACAAAAGGACCTCTTGATATAGAAACGTCACATGGCTAGAAACAAGACAAAACATACCTTGCCTGTTCTTTAAGTATTTAAATAAACCTTAAGACTTTGCTTACAATTGATGACAATGAAAACATATGCATGACAGTGTGCATTTAATATTTTTGTAGACGATTCTTAAACTGCAGAGAGTATTCACTGACATCTAAGATTAATTTGATTCATTCCGTAGACATGTAACAGTCCCATATATACATTTTCTATTAAAACGAAAAAAAGGAAAATGGTAAAAATCAGAAAAATCACATAAACCGATTTTTACCATTTTGCTTTTCTTCATAAAATTTACATGCTTAGTAAAGTTTTGTCAAGTTTATATTAGAGTTTTAGAATAGTAACATATTCTGAAATCTGATTTCATCTGTAAAACTTCACTGAGTATGATTTGTCCATATGTTTTTATTGAAGAATTTACTAATATTCCAATTTTACATGTATTTAATTTTCCAATACTTATGAGACATAGTTTAAAGGATTAGCCGCTTTTCTAAGCCTGTAAGATGATAAAAAGCCTCCTCCAAAACAATATTTGTATCATCTGTCATTGTAGGGACATAGACACAGTTTCAACTGATTAAAGAAAACAATTTAATGTTTAAATTTCCCTACTTATAGGCAATTCTTATGATCAGCAATCAATTAAACATTTGTTGACATGCCAAGAAAACTTAGTGGGCATTCTAGCCGTAGAGCGTACCAATATGGTGGGTAGTTCATTGTTGATTTTATAGTATAGAAGGCGTAAAGTTATATATACTTATATTTCGCCATTTACAGAATTACATTGGGTGTGCAATGATAATATCACTATATAGATATATATATAACTATACATTTCAGGACTCTTACTTTTCTGATATTACGTGTTAAAAAACCAAATTCAAGTCGTACACGGACGTTAAATATAGGGAAAAAACAATTTATCAATATGGAGTCAGTCAATTAAAAATAAA